TTTTAAATAAACTAATTGAAACAATATGTCGCCAAAGTGACCTCTTTTGTGTAGATTGGTTTATTTGGATGTTTAGATGTGTGTGTGTTTCTTCATGCGGGTATTAACCGGCCCAAAGGAAGGTTAATACTTGGCCGAATTACATACATACTTGTGGTGGTGAATGTGTGACAATTATAAGGTTTCCATGTAAATAATAAATCAATCCAAAGATAGGTTTATTATTTGACAGGAGTTATTGTCAATGTTCGATCACTACACCGAGAGTACCACTTGCAATTAGTATTACTATCCAAAGACTTGATATTAATGTAGCACTAGGTATCTTGAGATGGGGCTTACCATTATTTGAATTTATTGTTCATTAAATATGGATATGAGCATAATTAATTGTTTCTTTCTGTTCTCTCTACAGCTAGTTCATCTGCTACTACAATATCTGTTAATGTCAATTCAATTCCCATACTTAATGGAACAAACTTCAAGGATTGGAAAGAGAACATATTGATTGTTCTTGGCTGCATGGATCTTGACCTTGCACTTTGGGTTGAGGAACCCACTCCTCTTATGGAAGAAAGTTCTCTTGATGAAAAGAGGAACTTTGAGAGGTGGGCTCGCTCAAATCGCATGAGTCTAATGATCATTAAGCGCGGCATTCCGGAAGCCTTTAGAGGTGCAGTATTCGAAGGGATAACTAATGCCAAGGAGTTCCTTGTCGAAATTGAGAAGCGTTTTGTGAAAAACGATAAGTCTGAAACAAGCACGCTTTTGCAAAGCTTGATTTCAATGAAGTACAAGGGCAAGGGAAATTTAAGGGAGTACATCATGGAGATGTCTCATATTGCTTCAAAACTTAAAGGTCTAAAGCTCGAGCTATCTGATGACTTGCTCGTTCATTTGGTATTGATCTCGCTTCCTGCACAGTTCAGTCAATTTAAGGTCAGTTATAACTGTCAGAAGGAGAAATGGTTTTTAAATGAGCTCATTTCATATTGTGTGCAAGAGGAAGAAAGGTTGAAGCAAGAAAGAACTGAAAGTGCTCACTTGGCAAGCACTTCTAAGGATAAGGGCAAGAAAAAGAAGAAGGAATATGAAGCTGCTCCTAAGGGTCCAGCACAAAAGAAACGAAAGGAAGACAAAGATACTTGTTTCTTTTGCCATCAGTCTGGACATATGAAGAAGGACTGTGCCAAATATCACGCATGGCGTACAAAGAAAGGTACACTTCTTACTTTGGTATGTTCTGAGGATAATTTAGCTTCAGTACCAAGAAACACTTGGTGGATAGATTCTGGTGCTACTACTCATATAAGTGTTTCTATGCAGGGCTGCCTGAACTACCGAAAGCCAAGTGATGATGAAAGATACATCTATGTGGGTAATGACAAATCGGTGGAAGTTGATGTAATAGGGACTTTTAGGTTGTTATTAAGAACTGGTTGTTATTTGGATTTGAAAGACACTTTCGTTGTACCGTCTTTTAGACGGAATTTAATTTCTGTTTCTTCGTTGGACAAATTAGGTTATTGTTGTTCATTTGGAAACAATCAGTTTAGTCTTTCTTTAAATTCCAATATTATTGGTACTGGTTCATTATCTGCATATGATAACCTGTATTTGCTTGATATTATTGCATCATATAATGAGACCTTGCATGTGGATTCACGTGGTACTAAACGCAAATTAAATAAAGAAAATTCTGCAACATTATGGCACAAGCGCTTAGGTCACATCTCAAAAGCTAGAGTTGAACGACTTGTGTCAGATGGTATTTTGAGCGACTTGTGTCGGATGGTATTTTGGATTCTCTTGACTTCACAGATTTTGATATCTGTATTGATTGTATCAAGGGAAAACAGACCAAAACAAGGAGATTAGGTGCTAAAAGAACTTCAGATGTCTTAGAATTGATACACACAGATATTTGTGGACCATTCCCTACAGCTTCTTGGAATGGCCAACAATATTTTATATCATTCATAGACGATTACTCACGTTATGGGTACCTATATCTCATACATGAAAAGAGAGTTAGAACCCTGCATGGCCTGATGGAAATTGATTGGATCATCTCCCACCATTCCATTATTTTCCTCATGTTCTTGGAGAAATACTATGAAATCATCTGAAATAGTACTTTTCCTCTCTCTCGTGGATCTCCTTAATGGTATTGGCTCTTGAGGTTGTTGAGTTTGTATTTCTGGAATAATTACCTCATTTTGGATGGGAGGTACTTCAACATTGTCTGGTTGAGGTTCTCGATATGCTTCTTGATCAACAACAGGTATAGAAACCTGTACATTGTCAAAAGCAATAGTAGGAATCGAAACCGATCCTTCCTCAACTTCTTCCTCAAAGACAATGTCTCTAACCTTATTTCTTCCCCCAAACTCAACATCCTCAAAAAATGTTGTGGTTCCCGTTTCAAAAATTGACTTAAGTGTGGGATCATAGAGAAATAAGGTTAGAGACATTGTCTTTGAGGAAGAAGTTGAGGAAGGATCGGTTTCGATTCCTACTATTGCTTTTGACAATGTACAGGTTTCTATACCTGTTGTTGATCAAGAAGCATATCCAGAACCTCAACCAGACAATGTTGAAGTACCTCCCATCCAAAATGAGGTAATTATTCCAGAAATACAAACTCAACAACCTCAAGAGCCAATACCATTAAGGAGATCCACGAGAGAGAGGAAAAGTACTATTTCAGATGATTTCATAGTATTTCTCCAAGAACATGAGGAAAATAATGGAATGGTGGGAGATGATCCAATCAATTTCCATCAGGCCATGCAGGGTTCTAACTCTCAAAAGTGGATTGATGCCATGAATGAGGAGTATAAGTCTATGCAAGACAATAAAGTTTGGGATCTTGTCCCATTACTTGAAGGTGTGAAGCCATTGGTGGTAAATGGATTTTTAAAACCAAGAGGGATTCAAATAGTAATGTGGAAAGATATAAGGCTCGTCTTGTGGCTAAAGGCTTTACCCAAAAGGAAGGTATTGACTTCAAAGAGACTTTCTCTCCAGTTTCAACGAAAGACTCTTTAAGGATAATTATGGCACTTGTTGCGCACTTTAACTTTGAGTTACATCAGATGGATGTCAAGACGACGTTTCTCAATGGCGACATTGATGAGACAATCTATATGGTGCAACCAGAAAACTTTGTGTCAGGAGACTCGAAGAACATGGTTTGCAAATTAAAGAAATCCATCTATGGGCTCAAGCAAGCTTCCCATCAATGGTATCACAAATTTCATCAGGTCATTATCTCATTTGGTTTTGAGATAAATGTCGTTGATGNTTTGAGTTACATCAGATGGATGTCAAGACGACGTTTCTCAATGGCGACATTGATGAGACAATCTATATGGTACAACCAGAAAACTTTGTGTCAGGAGACTCGAAGAACATGGTTTGCAAATTAAAGAAATCCATCTATGGGCTCAAGCAAGCTTCCCATCAATGGTATCACAAATTTCATCAGGTCATTATCTCATTTGGTTTTGAGATAAATGTCGTTGATGATTGTGTATATCACAAGTTTAGTGGGAGTAAGCATATTTTCCTGGTTTTGTATGTTGATGACATACCGCTTGCCACTAACGATATAGGCATGTTGCACGAGACCAAGAGATTTTTATCAAAGAATTTTGAGATGAAAGATCTTGGTGACACCTCTTTTGTATTAGGGATTCAGATACACCGGGATCGTTCTCGAGGTATTCTTGGATTGTCACAAAAGAGCTATATCGATAAAGTACTTAAGAGGTTTGGCATGCAAGACTGTAAACCAGGTGACACCCCTGTCGCTAAGGGAGACAAATTTAGTCTCAAACAGTGCCCACAAAATGACCTTGAAGCTAAGGAAATGCAGAAGATTCCCTATGCATCAGCTATTGGGAGTCTAATGTATGCTCAAGTATGTACACGCCCAGACATAGCATTTATTGTTGGAATGCTAGGCAGATATTTAAGCAACCCTGGGATGGATCATTGGAAGGCAGCCAAAAGGGTTATGAGGTATCTAAAGAGAACAAAGGATTATATGCTCACATATAGCAGATCAGATCAGTTAGAGATCATAGGGTACTCCGATTCTGATTTTGCTGGATACCAAGATAGTAGAAGATCCACATCAGGTTATATTTTTCTGCTAGCTGGAGGAGCTATTTCCTGGAAGAGTACCAAGCAGACACTCATAGCTTCTTCTACCATGGCAGCAGAGTTTGTAGCATGCTATGAGGCATCTAATCATGGAATATGGCTGCGAAATTTTGTCACTGGGCTGCGCATTCTGAATGGCATAAAAAGACCACTAAAGTTGTATTGTGACAACAACTCAGCAGTTCTATATTCTAACAACAACAGGAGCTCATCTAAATCAAAACATATTGACATTAAATTCCTGGTTGTGAAGGAAACAAACTCCATGAGTACAGAGTGGACAGATTTCTATAGAGCACATTGGAACAAACTCCATGATTGCGGATCCGCTTACTAAGGGATTACCACCCAAGGTCTTTCATGAGCACACCGCTCATATGGGTGTTGTACTTTTTGAGGATATCATGTTTTAGTGAGAGTTTGTATTCTTATTGCTTTATGTATGTTTAGTTCTTTGAACTTTTTTATCGAATCTCTGCATCCCCATCAACAGAGACTTTTCAAGAAAAAAATCAAAAGGAAGGAAAATCACGTATCAATTGGAAGATCAAAACCCAATTAAAGCAGTAAGATTCATGGATCAAGGTATGTTTCCGCATTTTTTTTTATTGTCTCTTTGATTTCAACATAGAATTTATGATTTTATGAAAGGATTTTATGAATATGGTTACTTTCAATTTATGCAACATTATACACAAATTCACAGGGGAGAAAGAAGATCTTTTACAAAATAATTCAATGCCCGGGTAAAGAAATTTGAAATAAATTCAAAAGATCATGATACCTGTCGGTGAAGAGCATCCCAGCACAGAAACATCCAATTCAAAGCAAAATAGTGAGATTTTTTTATACAACATTCTTTGAAGTCGACTACAATCCTCTAGCCTTCCAAGACATTTTGTTCTCCTCTTAAGTTAAACAATACCCATTTAGATAAAAACTCAAGACACAGATCTAAAACCAAATTCCTTCACTTAACAGCCACCAACCAGTGATTTGTTAGTCCAGTCATATATACATGTGTGTGTATTTTGTTTACAAGAATAAAGAAAAGTTAGGGCCTGTTTCCATGAATTCCATGAAAAGTAGAATACTTTCCATTCTTTATCATTATTTAATGACACATATTTACCATGGCATTGGTATTCCAAGTTCCCCTCACATGCAATTCCAATTCTTATGGGTTTGATAAGAATTGGAATTCCGGAACAAATTCTATGCCTAATTCTAAAAAAATATTTTCCTTTAATTGACAATTTTCATATAAAATAAAGTCAAACGAACACCAAAATATTGATGATTTTTTTGACCTTTTTTTAGCAATGGAAACAAATTCTATCCCCAATACTAGTAAATTTTATCCCTTTAACTGACAGTTTTCATGTAAAACAAAGCCAAACGAACACCAAAAAATACTTTTATATCAACATTTTTCACATGAAAAATTATATTAATCAAATACAATAATTTTCAATTCCCAGACAATTAAATTCCTTTGAATTCGTTTTCTTTTCCACCCAAATTTCATCTTTGCAATCAAACGGACCCTTAATTCAATTTGTATGAGCGGAATAAAAAAAAGAAGATGACGACGTAAATGTTATGGAAGAATAAAGCTGTCTCGGGATAGGGTTGAAAACAGGGGCGCCAGTCCCTATGGCGCCCCCAGGGACAGGTATCCCTCCAATAGGGGGCACCATGTGGGGCCCCTGTCCCGATTGACAGGGTGCAAGGCTGGTTATGGAATGTGGAATTTGAGAATCCACCGCCTACCCAACTGCAGTTTGTTCCAAGAACTTGGTTTGGGAAATCATGAACAAGGTTAAAACAATCACGGTACAAGTACAAAAAAAATTGATAAAAACTTTGATAAAAATTACATGACACGAATTGATTGAAAGATAAAAAGAGAATAAAGAAAACAATCCAATCATCTGCGACCACATCAATGTAGGTAAAGATTCTGTCGAGAATTCTTTATACTACGACTTTTTCCCGGTTAAAAATAGGGAAAGTCTGGTTGGCAACATTTGGTTGGATATTTCTTCTTAAATTTTTCAAATCATCAATTCATACTTCAACACATGCCCCC